TAATTTAATTGAAAAGGTGCAAGGTGAGCTGGTGGAGATGATTTGGGAAAATACTGAAGCCCTGGCAGAGTTCCTGCCCGCAGAACCTTTCAATGTGCAGTCTGGGCTTCAGGCAGAAACAGGTTCTGGATTGCTGTAAAGACAGAGCTTCCAGAAATGGCTTTAAAATATTTTGTTAAGTTTTTTTCTAAGGACAAAGACAGAGTATTTCCCAAGACTTTTTTAAGTCTCCTGCTATTGTAAGTGTGTGCTTGTTGCCATTCTGTTTTTTATAGCCCATTTTTACTGCAGGGCAGCTCGGCTTTTACTGTTCGTTCTTTAGAGTCTGGAAAAGAAAGTCTTCCTGATTTGATGGCCAAAGGTGGGACTGATTTGCAAACTCAGGGCTCAACTTAAAGTGGAGAAATGGGAAGAAGACATTTTGCTTCTAGGAAACTGGGCCTTTATGGATGAAGTGAGAAAAGAGGAGGAAAATTCTAGCTGAGTCACAGTAGCTAATGTTAGTTTAGCATTTGCTGTTTGTCAGGCCCTAGCTAAGCAATGTCTACATGTTAGTTGATGCAACAACTCTGGAAGAGAGGCATTATTATTACTTTTGCTTTACAGATGTGAGGGGAGCTTAGAGAGATTAAGTGACTTACCTAAACTCAACCAGCCAGTGAGTGGAGGAGCTGAGCTCCCTGCCGCTCGGTTGGTGCCGCACACTTCTGCACTGTGCTGTCTTCCGGGGACACTGGCTGTTGGGGAGTGCTGATAGAGCTGCTGGCTGAGAAAAACTCTTCAGGAGCTATGGAGGAGCGATACAGACCCACCTCCCTCAGAGAACTATTAGCCCAATGTTGGTTGTCTGTGGGAGAATTTCAAGACAAAACAAAATCTGTTCTGTGAAAGGCAGGAGGCCTTTGATGATTCCGAAAGTGGTGGAATGATGAAATGCAAGATTTTCTGCTTGTCTTCAGGAGACAATGACATATTTGATCATTTGGCTACAGAAGAAAGGAGACAATTTATTTATCCAGTTCATAAAGCAAATTGGTTGATGAGAGGGGAAGCACCTTTACATTCACACCCTCTGTACTTGTCCTGTTCTGCAGAGACCAAGGGTAAAAGGAGAAGAGATGGTGAGGAATCCAAGGGCCCTGTGGGCTCTGCCTTTGTGAGGAATCATAGCTCAGTATCATGAAAACTCCTGACCATCTTCTCTGAGAAAACCAATAGGAACGTAGCCTAGAAGATCTGAAGGAGGGCAGTTAGAAGACACAGCATCGGCTGCGCGTGGTGGATCATGCCTGTAATCCCAGCACTTTGGCGGATGGATCACTTTGAGCTCAGAAGCTTGAGACCAGCCTGGGCAACATGGCAAAACCCCGTCTCTACAAAAAAAAAATTCACCAGGTGTGGTGATTTGCACCTCTAGTCTCAGCTGCTTGCAGGGGCTGAGGCTAGAGAATCACTTGAGCCCAGGAGGCAGAGACTGCAGTGAGCTGAGATTGTGCCACTCCAGACTGGGCAACAGAGTGAGATTCTGTCTCAAAACAAAACCAAAATCTAAAAAAACAAATAAAGAAAAAAACCAAAAAAGCCCCCAGGAAACCACAGTATCGATTCATAGAAGTTGTGGGGTACGTCACGTACTTCAAAGTCATTTGGAAATAGTTTGTGTTCCGTGGGCAGTAAATTAACCCCCTAATGTTCCATCCATCTTGGTATTAGCATTCCTCCTGTGATGTGGAATTATTTCTTTGCTAGTTCATCTTCACAGAAGGTTGTTTTATTTGATTTTTACTTTTCTCTGTATCACTTTGGTTTCTAGTAATATTGAATGTTTATAAGACTTTCAGACGAGAGCTGGGTTTTTCCGTGGATTCCTATGGTTCCATCCTGGGGAGATGACAGGGGTGTGTCAGTGGGCTTGTAGGAAGTCAGGTCAAGCACTTATCAGAGTGAGGCTTTCTGGGCTGCTTTTAGCTCTAGCAGGTCTCACCTTTCTGTGGGTCATAACATCAGACTGTTTTTCACATTCTGCCTTCCTCTCTTCCTCCCCACTAAGAGGCAGCCTCACTCCAGGACAGCTGCTGATCAGGCAGAAGCCAAAATCCCAGCTTCCTCTGCTATTCGCAAGACCAGGAGCCAAGCTGATGCAAGCCTTTACCCCAGCTCTGCCACTATGTATTTATTTCTGGCCCATGAAGCTTTCTTTCTTTATTTTTTTTTCCCTTTTCTATCATTGCTGTGTCTGAGTGAAATGGGATATTGAAAGTGTAAAATCATAGCATTTTCTTTACCCAGAAAAGAAAGACCTATTTCAAACAAGCATAAGAAAAATGTCTAATTTAAATCTACCTGAAAGAAAATGGGCTGACTTTTGAGTACAAATCATAAAGGAGAGGTTGAATGATCATCTCTTAGAGAAGTTTTAAAGAGAATGCCTTCTTCTTTCTTTGGATGGGGTGGTGAATTGGATTTCTGCTATGTTCTTTTGCGGGTCTGTGAGTCTGACTCTATTCAGGGCTGTTGTGTCTGTAGTTGGTGATCCCAGATGGTTGGGCTTTTTTTCTGAGTGTTTATTTCCTTTTTATGGCCTTTAAGACCCCTTCTTGCAGTTTATTAGAACAATCTACTTTTACTGAGTTTAATTTGTGCTTTTAGCAGTACAGAAGCAATGTCAAACCCAAACATGAGAACTAATTCAGCATCAGGCATTTTTGTTTTGACTTTGGTAGCCAGCTTTGTTGGTATTGCACATAAAAGAAGAGACTAAAGAAGCTCTGGGTCAGAATCTAAGGCTCTGTCTAGGAGTAAGTTCCCCAGGTTAGGGAAATGGACAGACTGTTGACATTTATAAGTCTGGCTTTTTAGTTATCACGTTGGGTGAACTGTGTGATGTGCCTTTTTAGAAGGTAAACACAATGTTAGACGTAATTGGTAGACAAGCAAGTTTTACATCCTGGGAAGTCATCTTTGTGGAGGAGAAAGAATTTTAGATGGAAGTCAGAAGAACCAACATTACCTTGAGTCTGACACTTTCAATCATTTAGTCTTGAGAAAATTACATGATTTTTTTGCGTCTCAGTTTATTAATTTGCAAGCTCACTGAATTCGATTAAGCAATGTTTAAGGTTTCTTCATCTCCACAGATTCCAAAAAATCACATGCTGCTGCTTCCAGGAGGGTCTGACCATATCCAGAAGGGGGTTGAATTCTTTATGTAAAGGCTCCCTATACCTTAACAGTTAAGGGGTTGGCCACTGGTGTTAGGTGCTCCTACTTTTGGAATGCCATCTCTACCCTGTCAGCCATGTGATACTAATGAGGTCACTTACCCTTCCAATTCTCTGTTTCCTTAGTTATAAGATAGAAATGAAAATTACATTAATATCTATCTTACAGAGAATATTTTAAAGTTTAATAATTCATTAAAGGACTTTCCGCCAGGCGTGGTGGCTCACGCCTATAATCCCAGCACTTTGGGAGGCTGAGGCGGGTGGATCACAAGGTCAAGAGATCGAGACCATCCTGGTCAACAAGATGAAACCCCGTCTCTACTAAAAACACAAAAATTAGCTGGGCATGGTGGGGCGTGCCTGAATTCCAGCTACTCGGGAGGCTGAGGCAGGAGAATGGCTTGAACCCAGAAGGCAGAGGTTGCAGTTAGCCGAGATTGTGCCATTGCACTCCAGTCTGGGTAACAACAGCGAAATTCCATCTCAAAAAAAAAAAAAAAAAAAAAGGACTTTCCTCAGGCATGGCACACAGCAAGGCATCAGTATGTCCATCTCCGTGTTACTGTGAACTCTTCGAGAGCAACTTTTCTGCCTTATCTGTCATAGCCTAGCTCATTTATCTCTTTATTTCAATGGCTTAGTTCTGGGTTTTATATGAAGTAGTGTCCGATAAATGAATGCTCTAGTGTTTTCAAGAAGCATGACTCATACAAATATAGAATGAATACCTGTCAAAAAATTTGCTTAGCTTTTTAATGAGGGAACCTGTTAGATAGTAAAGCTGATTTATCAGAACTAGTGGAAAAGAATTATGTACTTCATATCAAAATAATTTTTCTAAATTTGAGACAAAAGTGATAATGTCCTATGAGAGAATGAAAGCTATAACCTTTAAAGCAATAATTTCTTCTTGACATTAGTCTCTCTACAGGGCAGAAATCTATGTTAACCTACAGTTAGAAAATTCTTAGATAGGCCTGTGAAGCACTATTTTAGTATGACATTATAAGGACATTCAGATTTCTTTTTGCCATTTCCAAGTTTTGTCAATTTTTCTAATTAGCCATAAGACTAAACCCAAAGTATTATTTATCTTAGAAAAAGATTAAACAGGAATATGATTCTAGTATGTAAGTATCAATTTCCTGCCTAAACTTATCATAGGTACTGAGTCTGTCCATAATTATGTTTTCTTAATGTTTCATGAAGGAAAATAGAGGGATATTTAGGAAAGCACTATTAATTTCCAAGATCATACTACAGAGAGCAACCACTTAATAAGTATTTACATGGGCCATGTACCATGTTAGGTGCTTGATGTACATTTTAGTTTAATTAGTAAACAATCATGTGAGGTACGTATTATTATCCCCCCTTTGAAAAATCAAGTAAATGAGTCTCAGTGAGGTCAAATCAAGGTTATGCAGCCTGTATGAGTCAGAACTGAAATTCAGTCTGATTCTGAGTCTTATGTTCCCTCCTGTACCCTGTTATACTACCAAAGTCTTAAACTCTGAGAAACTTACAAGCGTGTTTCTAGTTAAACACACAGATGAATGGGTTTTGTTTTACTTGTATGATAGAGCATATGCAAAATGGTTCTTTTTCCTTTAATCATTTTGAAACTGCCTGTGATAAGTGGCCTTTCTGTTCCGTACTCACTGAATTAAAACATATATGTTTTAAAGAAAAATAAAACCATTCTGTTTAGCCCTTGTTTTCTTTGTAACTTATTTATCTTTCTTATATCTCTTCTGGCCCCCGATACGCCTGTAGGTGGGCTGGATCCTTTCCATCCTGGATGAACTGCAGCTGAGTCCTCAGCCTCCTGTGGGGGTCCTTCCTCTAGGGACTGGGAATGACCTGGCTCGAACTCTCAACTGGGGAGGGGTAAGAACTGTTCTCAGGGGCTGCCCATATCATCCAACAACAAACCGAGTTTCATATCCACTGATGTTCTAATGGAAATGGGTGTACTGCTGCTGCTGTCCAAGGATAAGCTAGAGCTGAGAATTAAAGTGTCCTTGAGCCCTTGTTTGATCTGGTAGCCTCTTTAGTTTGAACTTATAATCAGCTAGAATGGAAAGGAAAGCTTAGTATGAGAGAAGTAGAGTGGTTAGTACACAGGCTTGAAGCTTTTTCAGGTATCCACCAAAAGACAGTGGGTGAGTTTGGCCTCAAGTCTGCACGTAAAAGGATCATACAGACTTCAGTTAATCCAGCCTCTCAGCCCCAGCTAGGATAGCAAATCTGGTTCAACTTTACATGCCTTGTTTCGGAGAGTTATAACTTTTTTTGAGCATCTTTTTTTTTTTTTAATTAGTATCAGCAGAACTTTGGCTGTGTACATACTTATCTGTCCTTTCCACAATGAAGACAACTTCAGGCAAGCTGTTGTCACTAACCAGCCATTTATTTACTTATGTATTTTATAGTACTAAGATAGAAAGGAGGCCCAATATATATAGATGCATTGTGTAACATACATACACAGATACAGCCCCACCAACTTTTTATCTGCTCATATGAGAGCATTACCTGGGCTTGACTCTGTGAAAATTATATTCAGATGTTTAGCAGATATTAGTTGACCCTTGGACAAATTAACCTTCCACAGGTCTTTTTTTTTTTAAGTAGTCAGTGTAGAAATAAAAAATGTATTTACATGGGGCAACTAAGGTTATGTCAGTGTTAACTTCTACCGTCCAAATCAGTGCCTTGAATATCCTATTGAGGACAGTCTATCCTGCTGTCATAATGGATCCTCAAGGAATAAGTAGCTCCCTAACAGGGCCATTCCTCAGGGAGTCTTGCCTTAGATCACGGGAAGAATGGTGTCCTCTAACCAGGTCTGGGAGAGGTGATTGAGAGGGAATGTTAATAGCACAGCATTGTCAATCCCATCCCTCCTTGATTCTTTCCCTGCCTTTCCAGACACATTTGTTCTGTGTTTCCTGCAGGCTCCTCTAGTGAGAGTAGTGGGGAGTCCTGTTTTTCACTCTGATAAAAGCAGCCATCCAGCCCCCCATATGGTCCTTAATGCATACCCGTGACGATTGGTTCTTACTGCTGACAAAAAATATTCCTCAGCTCAAACCAGCCAGAGCTAGTGTTTCTGTATATCTTACTCACAGTATTGTCTCAAATTCTAAGTACCTCAAGGTAAATAATTTGCTCTCCAAACCTTGCTAATTACAAATTAAAAGAATATAGCAGCAGGGCTCTTCCTTGCATAAAATAGCATTGGCTTTGCTGTCCTCCTCTTCAGACAGCAATGAATATGTTCTCTGATTCCTCAGGGCTACACTGATGAACCTGTTTCTAAGATCCTGTGCCAAGTGGAAGATGGGACGATCGTACAGCTAGATCGCTGGAACCTCCATGTGGAAAGAAATCCTGACTTGCCTCCAGAAGAACTTGAAGATGGCGTATGTAAGGTTAGAGAGTTTTTTGTTCTGCAGGAAGGAACCCTGGAGCATCTGCCTGAGCTACAGAAAATAAATTCCTGGCTGGAGAGTCATGTGCTGATGAATTCCTCTGAGATAATGTGATTGTGTTTGAGTTGATGGCTACTAGTGCCATCAACCATTAGGTGGTAATAATACCACCTAATGATTCTGCCCATAGACCTCTAAAGATCTAGATTTCATACCTGCTTCCAGAGCTCAGGGAGGTCTTCTCTGTCTTCAACTTCTACACTAGAAAGGCATGTATTCAGTTTTAATCACTTGAGTTAATAGCAAATAACCTATAAGAAGTTGAAAAAATGCATATATTTGGAAGCATTGGGCACTTGTTCTTTCAGTAGAAATACAACCTCCTGAGATTTCTAGATGGATATAAAATATATCTTAGGAGGTATTAACTATGCCAATTTTATCACTTGGGTGGGACTTGAAGATACCTATGAATGTGTTTGACTTCATGTTATTTAAAAAATAATTTTCGCTTTTATTTTAGATTAAAGCTGCACATGTGCAAGTTTGTTTTATGGATATATTACATGATTCTGAGGTTTGGGATATGACTGATCCCATTACCCGGATAGTGAGCATAGTAACCATAGGTTTTCAGTCCTTGCCCCTCTCCTTCCCTCCCCACTCTAGTAATCTCCAGTGTTTACTGTTGCCATCTTCATGTCTGGACTTTGTGTTTTCTTTTAGTGATTGAGCTTTTATTTCACTGAAAAGCAAACCAAGATATATTAATAGTTGTAATGAGTACTGTGAATCTTCAGTCGATCCTTTGGTTCTAAGTTGTGGCCTCAATTTCAGATAAATTTGGTAGGCTGCTGAGTAGTCACCTCCCTCATATTACTTTCCACCTTCCTTCTATGATTGAATTTTCAAACTCTGTATGTGTAAGAATCTCCAGATGTACTCAGAGATTTTTTTACCACCAGGCCGGCTTTACAAGAGCTTTTGAAAGAAGAATTATATATAGAAAGGAACAACCTTTCTAAAAATATACCAAAAAGTAAAGAGCATTAACATAAAGAAGAATTTACATCAACGAATGGATAAAATACCCAGTTAACATCAAATGGTAGTAACCCTAAATTTAAGTCGACTAAATCCCCCAATCAAAAGATACAGCCAAAACCTAACAATATGCTACATCCAGACCCATTTCACATCCAAAGATACACAAAGACTTAAAACAAAGGGATGGAGAAAGATTTACCAACCAAATGGAGAGCAAAAAATAAATAAATAAAAGTAGGAGTTGCAATTCTCGCATCTGATAAAATAGATTTCAAAGCAACAAAGATATAGTGGTAAAAGGATCAATGCAACAATAAGAGCTAACGATCCTTACACCCAGATACATAAGACCCATAAAGAGATTTAGACTCAACGAGACAGAAAATTAATAAGGACAACCAGGACTTGAACTCAGATCCGGAACAAGTAAACTCAATAAATATTTATAGAGCTCTCCATTTTAAATACACAAAATATACATTCTCCACCTTAAATACACAAAATATTGATCGGCCATTATTAATACCCATTTTTAGAATAAAGTTACATTCCTGTTTTCTCTCCCTCTTTTTCTTCCTCTTTCTTCCTCTCCTTCACTCCTTTTTTTCTTTCTTTCAAAAAAAAAAAAAAAAACATGAGGATGGTCCAAAGGTAGTGAGTTATGTCAAGGAATTCTTCAGTCAATTATAGATCAAACTCCTTGTTTTACTCTTTTCTCCCTTCTCACTACTGCATTTGACTACTCTTAAAAAAAAAAAAAAAAAAAGAATCTCCAGATGTTTGTTAAAGTGCAGATTACAAGGCCCAGTCCTCAGAGATTCTGATTAAATAAATGAAGTTAAGGCCCGGGCATCTGTACTTTAAACAGTATCCCTATGATAGTGAACCATGCCATTTATTGAAGCTAAGATTTCATGGATGTTTCAAGCGTATAACAGATTAAACCCCATATCATTTTAGATTTAGATCAAACCAACACCCATCAACTCAGCATCATGATCCTGAGCAATTTAATTACATATATTATAATTTAATAGATGTTCAAGTTTTTTACTTGGCTAAATCAGATTGAAACATGTTTTACTCCATCTTTATCATTTCTTCACCTAAACTATGATCCCAAAATTAATAAGATTTACAGTAGATTACAATAAGATTATGATTGCTCAGCTGAATTCAAGTTAAATGTCACAATGTTGTTTAAACAACAAGTATCATCTTGAGATGTGATGCTTTTTTATAACGGATTTGACTTACAGAAATTGGATAGAAAACAGCTAAAGTACAAAGAAGAGTACCGTATGGATATTTAAAATTCCTTTTCCTACTAAACATGGAATGGTTAGATGTGCAATAGAAATCCATATTTAATTCTCTTCTCAACAGCTTAAGAAATGGAAAGACTTCTCGGTGTAGCCAGGGGACACCAATCCATATAATTAATGGGGTTTTAAAAATGGGTTTTAAAAAGAGATGTATGGGAAACTGGGGCAAGTTTTCCTGGAAAATATAAATAACTTAAAAACAGACTAAGTTGGGATATGATTTAGGTGATGATGACCAGATGTTCTTCTTAGCAATCACTAGATGTTAAGACGTGGGTTAGAATTGTGGCCAAAAGAACATAAATGGTAGAGGAGATGAACATGTCTGTGCTTTTGGCAGGATCACCAACCCATGCTGTCATTACTAAGAGCTGGTATTTTGTTTAAGTGCAGGAACTGGATATTCTCAAAAAAGAAGCCTGAAGAGTAAGACATGATTTTGGCATTGTTCTGTGTGTTTAGTTTCTCTCCCTGGTTTCCTTTAGTTGAGACCATTCCTAAGGGCTCACTTGGACTCTGAATCAATACATAGGCTTTGAATTGATAGCTTCCAGGTGGAGTCATTCCTAACTTTCATTAGAGACCAAGCCAATCCAATTTTCTTTTTTCTGCATTTATATCTCTCTTGATCTCTCTCTTATTTCATTTTTTTTCCTTAATGAAAGAAAGTTCTTCCTCTAGTGAAACAGAAAATCTTGCTGATCAAGGGGCATATGAAATACTGTAAAAAACTTACCCATAAAATCTTGAGGGTTAAAACACTTATCTTTCAGAGAAGACAGGTACAGTTCAATTTGGGACACAAACTGGATAATTAATTAGCTGCAAACATTTCCCATCTTTATTTACTTTAATATTTACCTGACACTTGATTTGCAGAAGGAAAAGTGGGAGAACCAGCCATTCCCGTTCTTGCATTTTCCACATGCTTTCCTAATTGTTCTAACATTGAACTGAAGCTTAAAATCACATTAGTTTTGCAGTTTTAATGCAGGATTTGAGGCTGCAGAGTTCTTTTCACTCAGCGTGCAGCAGTAAGAGCCGGAGACCCAAAGGACTCTAGGAAGGAAAGTTAAAGCTTACATGTGCATCTGTGTGTCTGTGTTTTCAGAATGGTCATAGTAAAGATGTAAGGGTTTATAGATGAAATGAGAACTTGAATAGTACTAATACGCATTTTTGTTGTTGTTTTTCTCCTCTAGGCCAGCAATAACCAAATGGGTCACATTGCCCTATTTTTTTTATGACTTTTGTAAAAAAAAAAAGTCTGTGTGTGTGTGTGTGTGCGTGTGTGTGCATAGAGAGAGAAAATAAGGTAAATAAGTTAAATATTCACTCTACATTACAACACTGGTTTACTGAATATAAATTCTTGAAAAAATGTGCATCCACTGATTAAGTTGATTAGACATTGTCCTTACAATTGATTTTACTTTCTAAGTTTGCTTAGTGAACTATTCTTTGTAACTATTGCAAATATATATCCCTCAGCTTAACAAGTTCCTATTATTACAGCATCTATGATAATAGTCCTTATTTAATAATTTGTATTTATAGCTCTTATTTCTTGTCGTATTTATAATTCTTGAGAAAATTACTTGATTTTAGCTTTCACTAATGAATTAATCCAATAATTTCCTGTTCTCTCTACATAAGCATCCTCTACTTGAAGTCGTGGCTGATCTGTCTCCTAGGGCCTTCTTAGAGCTAAGGGTCTGGCTTTAGGTTTTATTCTTCTCTTTCTGCCTGGCCACACACAGTTTTGCTTCTATCTTTGTTTATCATTGCAGCTCCCTCTGAATGTTTTCAATAACTACTTCAGCCTCGGATTTGATGCTCATGTCACACTGGAGTTTCATGAATCCAGAGGTGAGGACAACGTCCCATTTCCATCTCCCAGGGAGGAAGTTTCTAGCAGGTGTTTTGCTTGTTCCCTTTTGTTTGTATATCACTTACGTGTTTTCAGTGTTGTTTCACTTTAACCTTCAGGATGACTCTGGGAACTAGACAGGACAGGAACTTCTTACAAATGGGACCCTGAGACCTTGTTGTCCAGGGTCCCAAAGATAGTAAAGGACAGGACTAGATGTGTGTTCTGGGTCTCGGGATTCTTTAAGTTCTACTGAAAATTTGGAAGTGAGTAAACTACTAAGAAGTGATAGAGACTGTTACTGAAGTCACTAAGATAATTCTTTAGCTTCACAAAACACGATGAAAGTGCAACACTACATAACCAGAGCCATTGAAATATGGTAGCGAAAACAAAAACTCCTCTCTGTGTGCACAGAAGGAACAGCGGGCATCTTAGAAGAAAAGAGGAGCTGTAGGTAGTTTAGGTTCAAAGAACAGGATGTAATGGTGATGGGATTAATTAGGAAGGTACTAGGGATCCCCACTGGATGATACAGAGGTGTGAATGAAACCGTGTTGTGATTTCAGTTACTAAAAGAGATGGAGTTAAGATTAGGGGAGCAAAACAATTTTTGAAAGAAGATGAAATAATAATATGCTATTAAAAATTTCATCAACATTTTTCCATGCAATTTAGAACTGAGAAAGTTTAGGGTTTTGACTTATGTTTTGTATTCCCAACTGATCTCTCTTTCTGTCTTTATCTCTCTCTCTCAACTCTCCTCATATTGATATAGCTATACTATATATCTATGTCTATGCCTGTATCTATATCTGTACCTAGTTCCTTTCTGAATATATTTATATATAACCAAAACTATGCTAGGATGTAGATTAGTAAGAGACTCGTGAGATGAAAGTCATAAATGAGGAAGTACTTTACTTTTTTTCCTCCAGGTTATGGAAGAAAGAAAGTGGCTTTAAATCATAGCATTTGAAATAACAGAGTACTAAAAGCTAGAAGTCGCATTTTTAGATTCTGGAAATAACACATGAAGATTCTGATAATGCACGTATGAGCTGGAAGTCAAGAGTGGTGCTACAGGATTAAAAACCACTAGAATGTAAAATACAAGCAAAGAACAAATCTTTAAAGTTCGTTACTGGATTCAGCAATGTCAGCAGACTCTGACCTTTCCGGTTTCACAAGGTTTTGAGAGGACCGGCTCCGCAAAGGTCAAGTTCTGTGCCAAGCAAGAACGATAGTGGTTGAAGATTAAGCCATAGTTTGGTATTCCTCTCTGATTAGCCAGAAAATCACGGCTAGAAGGGATGATTGCTAACAGGACCTCAAATATCCTGAGTCAGAAACACTACCACTTTCCCCTCCCTGCCCTAGACAGTTCTTGGATATTAAGTATTTAGAGGAACCTACCTTAGGATCACCATTTATGATCCGTTACCCTTCCTATATTGAAGGAGAGTTAATTTGGGAAGTAAATGGGGGATTTTAAACTTCATTTCTTACCCCATTTTTTTTAATCTCATACAAAACTTCTTAATAATACTTGTAAAGAAACACAATTATCACTAATACATGAATTTCCATAAATAGTCATGAAAAGAGGTCTAAATGAATACGTGACCAACAATGAGCTCATTCAAGTGAGGCTCATACTTAGTTTAATGAATCCAGAAGTTTTTCTAATGAGTCACTTCCTTGTACTGTGATGAAGTTTCTATGCATCGGAGTGAGAAGGGAGCTGGAAGAGACCCTTACGTGGAAAGACCAGGCTTAGAAGAAAAGTCTTTTTGGGAAAGTGATTTTTTTTTTTCTTTATTTTAAGCTGTAGGACTGTTTTAGAGTGGAATAAGCAAATTGTTTTGTGTATGAACATATACATTTATATGTGTGTGATTATAAAACAATTGTTTAAACAATGTCAAGCACTAATCTTTGTATAGTTTTTTGCTAAGGCTTATTGTGTTTTGATGCAATATGAAATGGAATTATAAACATTTTCCCTGTACTTAAATCAGAGCCTTTGAGGAAAATCAGCCACTGAAGGGCCGATAAGGGAAAAACTATGTAATTAAGAATAATAGATATAATATCCGTGCAGGTGAGATAGAGATGGTAAAAAAAAATAAATATCTATAAGATATTGAAACCAGATTTTGTTGATACACTTAGATAAGAGGTATGGACTGTTCAGTATCTGTTAATCTGCTTCTTTTACATTCAATTAAAAAATGTTTGTCTATGAAATATGTAATTAAGTGGCTAGGTTTTTTTTTTTTTTTTTTTTACTGTTTCTGTTCATTTCTATTTTTCCCATATTTATACCTAGTTAGTCAAGAAATCTTAAGCTGTAGAAGAAAAAAACAGAATAAGCAACACCACAGTTTTAATTGTGGCAAGCTTACTTATTTTGTCAGTAGATAGTGAGCAGCAGTTTTCAAACCAAGAAAACTCACAGCGAGACTTTAAACTGTTTTCCAACACAAGCACTGTTTGCGGCTTCATGTATCATTTGCCATAAAATACCTGGAGGGTAATGCAAAGGCTCGTGAAAGGTGTTATGAAAACATAAGCTTGGATAGTAGAATCTATGAGGTATTAGCCAAGAAAATATACTTTTAGGTTGAGAATTATGCCAATACATCTACATAAAAATGGGCGATTAATGCAAATCTCATTAAAGAAGAATTTTTAAAAATGTAACTGTGGAAAGACTTTTTAGCACAGATATAAATATAGCCCATCAAATGGACAGTTCTCAACATAACTGCATATATTGCATTTCTTTTAGAAGGAATAATTAAACTGACATTAATTCCGTTTTTTATATCTACTTTATTCCAAACACAAATCAAACTCAAAAACATGTTTAATTACATTTGGAAGCTGCATACCTAGTTTATGGAAGTCATGCCCTCTGAAAGTCAAATAATCACTTCTCCACCTCCCTCCTAATTTTCCTGTTATCCCAGCCCAATATCCCTGCAAACCCTCCAGTTTTTACAGAGCATCCAGAGTGCTTCAGTCTTTTGTTTTGTCTGAGACACAGTCTTGCTCTGTCACCAGGCTGGAGTGCAGTGGTATGATCTCAGCTCACTGCAACCTCCGCCTCCCAGGTTCAAGTGATTCTCCTGCCTCAGCCTCCCAAGTAGCGGGGACTACAGGTGCGCACCACCACACCCAGCTAATTTTTGTATATTTGGTAGAGATGGGGTTTCACCACGTTGGCCAGGATGGTCTCCACCTCTTGACCTCATGATCTGCCCACCTCGGCCTCCCAAAGTGCTGGGATAACAGGCATGAGCCACCATGCCCGGCTGAGTGCCTCAAGCTTTAATGTGCTTGAGAATCACCTGGAGAGTTAGTTGAGCCCCTCCACAGATATGTAGACTCCACACTGAGTCGTTCTGATTCAGTAGGTCTGGCTAAGGCCTAATCATTTGCATTTTTAACAAGCTCCCAGTTAATGTCAGTGATGCTAGTTTTGAGCTATGCATTTATAGTCTGGGCTTACTGTCCCTGCAGCACCGGGCCACTGTACTAACTGGCCTGGAACTGGGGGAAAGATGATAACCACACCATGGGATCTATTGGATCTGTAGGATAGGAGGGAGTTGGGGAGGAAGCAGGAATGCTAATCTAAGTCACTCCCTTTAATGAGGTCTCCATAACAAAACTACCTTTCCTCTTTCACAGAAGCCAATCCAGAGAAATTCAACAGTCGTTTTCGAAATAAAATGTTCTATGCAGGGGTAGGTATACATTTTATTTTATAATCACTACATATTACTTAGTGCTAATTCACTGTGAGTAATAAAGTTGTAAACTACATTAGAAATCATAACATATACATCTCATTTATATATGTCTATATATGGTTACTGTTTAATGTCTGGGCTTAAGAACGAAAGTGAGGTGTATTTCTTAAGTTAGCTGTCAGAAAGAGAGTTGGTGTTGCTCATCTTGAGCTTTTAAGCAAGCCCTGGGGCTTCATGTTGAACAAGAGAGGATGCTATTTAAAGAGTGATGTGGAAAACAATTATCGAAGCCAATGTAAGAAATGGGGGCATTGTGCAGACTGAGGATGTATGAAGAATCTTAGGTAGGAATGTAGTTTTCACCAGGGAGTGTACATTGACATTTGGATAAGAAATGAGCAGAACATGGGATGTTTTTCATGGAAGCATACATGAGATTAAAGGTGGTACCTTCTTTTTCCTGCTTTTGTTTCTCAGGCACATTCATGGAAGTAAATGCCATCCAAAATATCCGTAAAGTACAGTTTTAGTTTATGCCACTGGATGGGGAAGTTTAAAGAAAAGGCATTTGGAAGCTGCATATATAGTGTACGGAGGTCATGCCCTATGAAAGTCAGATAAGGAATCTTAGTGAAAAGACTGTGTCAGGACTTAATGCACAGGTAGAGTGGTCAGAAAAGGTCGTCAAAATAAACCTTCAAATGACCCTCAGAATTGCCTACTCTTTCACCCTCATTCTGTGCTCTTAAATTTTATAGTGGAACCATGAATTATAGCTTGGAAACAAAGAGAACAATTTCAACTTGACAACTACTGTCCTGCTTTACTTTGGATTCTGCAGAAAGAGAACTCGTTTAGAATTTTTGCATACTTTGGAATCATTGGAATCTAGACTATGGAAGCAAGGATTTGGTGTAAAGACGTAATTACGAATTTCTTCTTTATTTCCCTGTGCTATAGGCAGCTTTTTCTGACTTCCTACAGAGAAGTTCTAGAGATCTATCCAAACATGTGAAAGTTGTCGTAAGTATTGAACACGCTGGCTTATTTCATTTGAATATGAATGTGAATGCCACAAAAAGTAAACTCCCAAATACTTCATACATAATCACGTGACTCTATGGAACTTTGGAGATCATTTTGTGTAGTTCATTCAACCTGCACTTATTGCATGTCAGGCACTGTCTTAGTTGCTGAGGATGAAGAGAAATGAAAAGACTAGTTTTACTTCTGAAGAAACTCCCAGTTCAGTTGTAAAGAAGGTCATGTAAGTCACTTCAGAAAAATGAAATAAATGTCATTCAACTGTGTATACAATATGGCTGTGGCACAAAGGCAGAAGTGATAACTGGCTATGGTGGGGTCAGGAAGACCTTTATCAAAAATACGCTGTTAGCTGGATCTTGAAGAATAAATCAATACTCTCCAAACAAGTATCTTTATTCCAGGATAGTCTGAGGAGTCTCTGTGTTAGAAGAAAGTGTTGATTTCATTGTTTTATGGAGACTCACTCTTTCACCGGTCAAGGTTCCTCACCACTGGTTGGATTATTTTTCTGTGTGCTGTTTCTTCCTGGGTATCTATATCAGGTTTTGGAAATATACCGCTTGGGGGCAAGGGAGAGAGAAATTTATCTTTCTGTAGGTGACACATTCAAAAATAGAGTAAAATCAGGTATTGAGAAAGACTTAAATGTTTTCTTGTAGTAAACCAAGTTAAAGAAGGAGCTCACATGACTTTGTTGCACATAGTTGTGTAAGTAAACGACAGAATGAGAAAGAAAGGGAAAAACATATATAGATGGAGAAGAGGGGATGAGAATATAGCAATGCTTGAGTTTATCATGGCATAAGTAAAGAATAAGAATAATTTTGATGGACTGGATGCCGTGGCTCATGGCTGTAATCCCATCACTTTAGGAGGCCCAGGAGGGTGGATTGCCTGAGCTCAGGAATTTGAGATCAGCTGGGCAACATGGTAAAACCCTATCTCTACTAAAATGCAAAAATGAGCAGGTATGGCAGCGTGCACTTGTAGTCCCAGCTACTCAGGAGGCTGAGGCAGGATCACCGCTTAAACTCGGGAGGCAGAGTTTGCAGTGAGCCAAGATTGTGCCACTGTACTCCATTTTGGGGAACAAAGGGAGACTCTGTCTAAAATAATAATAATTTTGACAAGTGAGAATGGAACAAAATATATACATGGAAACAGAGAAAAATATATGATCTTAAGCTAATGAGAATATAAAGAAATATAAGGATCACGAAAATATAAAAATAAAGTGAGAAATCACCAGTAAAGCATGTATAAGATGTGAATCTCCTAAATCAGTTGAAACAAGAGACAAAGCCCTTTACCACTGCTATTAACAACCCTTGGCATCATCCCTTTCAGATGTTTAAGTTCTCATACAATAAAAATAAAAAGCAAATATCTTCTAGTGGTGGAGACTCTTGAAACTGAAGTTTTGCCTTCTTAAAGCTAGATACAAGAATACATGGGGTCCGTTGAACTATGAGGATTATTATTTTGATAAAATTGTAGCTATTAAATTTAAGTAGCAGCAACCTTACATTAAACTTTCCCTATTTCTTTAGCTGCCTGCAGCCTAGTCACAATTAAACACACTTTCGAGTATATTTTACATTTAAAGGCACATCCATAATACCTGCCAGGAGACCCAGTGAGTGCTCCCAGTAAATGGAATGGCAGGGCACCATTCAAGTCACCGGATTGATCTCAAACTCTGTACACTTCCTAACTGCTAGAGAGTTTTCTCTCTCGTATCTGGCAGTAGTAGCCTTGATAATGCATGTCTCATGCATGGGTGACTTTATAGTAGAGTCTAAAAGATGCTTGCAGAGAGGCTAAAATGGCAGCAAATAACTAGGAAAGATTTGATATCAGGCTATATATGAAATATTTAAAGGTAGAATATTTATATAAGTTACATCTTCTCTTAGGAGGAGGAAAAAGTCATTAGAAACTAGGTATGAACATTTGGGATTTAGCTAGGTCTACCTTTGCTTGGTATATGACTTTGGGGAAATTATTTAACCTTTCAGAGGAGTTTGCTTTCTTCATCTGCCAAGTAGGCATAACAAGACATGTCTTTGAGGCAACGGTTTTTGACCACTGTACTGTGACACAGAGGGACACAAGGATATTTTTGCAATGACATCATTCTATGTTTTCCTGAGTGTGAGATGAAAAGGATGGAAGGTTAGTGAGAGTTATTGGATGTATACACAACAACAGACTGTGATTTCTTTCTTATAGGGTGAAGTGTTTCTAATGTAATAGCTAATAATGTCTCATAGAGATATAAAATATGTATTTGAATACTAGACTGAGAAAATACAAAATGACAGTAAAAACCTATATATAGCATTATTTGTTCCACTTTCTCTATTTTCTTCTTGTTATTAATCAGTATATGAGCTTATACAAAGGAACATATTTTGCATGAAAGTATGTGCCTTTGTATGTAAAGTTGGGAAAAAGTTGAAAACTGCTATTCTAAAGGAATTATACAGTTCATTGCAATAGTATATTAAAAAAAAAACTCTGAAAAGCAGTATACTTTGTAAGGCATGCATTTTCATATGATTTGATGAGTTCCCAGAATCACCAACATGTTTCCCAGGAAGAAAAAGTAGAAAATTTAAAAATGAATTTTGTTCTAAATGCAATAATATTTATTATAATCTTTCTGCAATGCAACCATAATGCTTTGTATACTATTAATGTATCACATCCTAGGTTTTGGAAGTTCTAGTTGCTTACAACATGCAACTTTGACATTTACAATGTCTACTTTTTTTTTTATAAATTGGCATAGTCATTTATAAACTCATTTCAAGCTCTTAAATAAGTTGGCAGATGTTATGTTCGCTTAGTAGTTGAGAGTACTAGAAAAATACCTTTAATGTCTAGAATTTGATTACTAACTCAATTTGAAAGTAGTTTGTTTAAAATTGTAAGATTTCTTGGAACCAATTCTTCGAGAATACTCATGAAAATTAGGCTGTATTGAAATCAACTGGGGAAAAAAAAATGCAAGTGCTCGAGACAACTTGACCACTAGCAAAACCATTATATTTAGATTGAAACAGATCCTAAAGAACTCTTTGAAAATTTTCAGGGAGCTTGGGAGTGCTTTGCTCCTCTCTCCAAATGAGAAAGTAACGGGGAAATTCTGTGTTAAGGGTATGAGGAAAGCCAATATGAGCGCAGGCTTTATACCTTTGATGTTGGAAAAAGTCTTTGGTTATGATGAGAGTTACTCTCTTTTGACATTTGTCACCAGTGGGAAATGAGAAAGGAACATGAAAGATTTTTCCTTGATTTATCAAATGATGATAACCTTGCAGGAAGTGCTAACCGATCAGGAAAGCCACGTACAAGTGTTGCTGAGGCCAAACTGGCCTGTTACCCTTGATTCCCAAGGCCATGTCTAAACTCCAGGAAGGCAGTGAATCTTAGAAGTCCAAAGTCTGTACGAGATTAAATTTGTAAGAACAAATCACAAATGATGATAATACTAGTTTATAACAGATATCTTTTCGAAAGTTTGTGGTACATATACTTTTTTAAAAAAAGTCTTCAGGCTGGGTGTGGTGGCTCATGTCTGTAATCCCAGCACTTTGGGAGGCTGAGGCCGATGGATCACGAGGTCAAGAAATTGAGACCATCCTGGTCAACGTGGTGAAATCCCGTCTCTACTAACAATACAAAAATTAGCTGGGCATGGTGGTGCGTGCCTGTAGTCCCAGCCACTTGGGAGGCTGAGGCAGGAGAATTGCTTGAACCCAGGAGGTGGAGGTGGCGGTGAGCCAAGATCGCGCCATTGCACTCCAGCCTGGGTAACAAGAGCAAAACTCCATCTCAAAAAAAAAAAAAAAAAGTCTTCAAAATAATTAACATTTTGATAATAAAAACTGTCTCAAAAAAAGAAAATCATTTTATTTGTGACTTGTTGGAATCAGATAATGATGGTGGCAAATACTACTGCTTTAACTTGAGGTTTTTCTTTTCATTCTTTTAAGTGTTCATAAATCTTTTAATATTGACTCCATTAGCCTAGATAACTAAGAATCATCCAATGTTAAGAATGATAATATTTCTTTTGATGGTGAGACCAGAGAAAAAATCATTTTAGTCAAATGGAGGGTTTGTTCTTATATTCACTGCAAACAAAATCAAACTTCGTACTGTGGTTCTAGTAAAACTATAACCAGAATATATTTTTAATCGTGACCGGCAATCACTTAAGCAGAGCTAGAGCAAGGAGAAAGAGACCATGGTGGCTACTATTGTCAAACTAGTTATCTTTGATAATTTTTTAGACTTGTGAGTACTTCAAGCCCCTTTTTCTGCTTTCATTGTTTCAGTGTGATGGAACAGATCTCACCCCAAAGATTCAGGAACTGAAGTTCCAGTGTATAGTATTTTTAAATATACCCAGGTAAGCTCTGTTTGTATTGTTTCCTTGGTTTGATGTGAACTCTGACTTGAGGTTAACTGGTTTCATAACAGAAAAGTTTTAGCTGTAAACAATGAAGATCAGTTATTTAAATGGGTTATTAAAGATTTCTAGGCTTGCTAATTCATTTTCCGATTTGGTTGATTTAGTGTTCTTTGTGGTAGGTGGTTTTGTGTGTCATGTGACATGCATTGTCTATACTTATCCATCTTTAAGAAACCCAGGCACCCAGGCACCCCTCTTGACTGGAACATCGTAATTTATTTCTAAATTACTGTTCTTCTCCTCTTCCCCCTCTAACAATGAGATAATTCAAAAATTATTTTTGTTCTTAGTTTCCTAAAAACTGATAAAAACCATCCAGTCTGATTTGAGTTGGAATTCATTCAAAATTGTTGCCAGATGATTGCTTTGAAAAAATAGCAACAGTTCGAATCCTATTTTCTAGCCAGGATGTCAATTCCCATTGGTGCCATTACGCACCTCAGGAGAAAGGGATATTTAAGATAGCTGGACTCAAAATAAACATATTATTTCAGTGTCATAAATTATGGTCTAGGCCTTGAGGCCAAGATTTTAGAAGGGATGGATCTATAACCATTTATTTGCCTGCCAAACAACTCAGACACAAAATTTGCAAATACGTTGTATTTAGACTGAATTTAATTGACATGAGAGTTGTATGTAAATCTGTGGCTGGGAAAACATATCATAGTCTCCTGATTATTCTTGGCAGTGCTCAGTATAGTCAGTTACAATTTTATTCCATAAATATTTGCAGCTTAATTGAAGTAGAAGGCCTTGATTCTCAGAAAGCATTGTTCATTTCTTTGCTTTTAAATTTCTCTATCTTGTCCTTCCCCCCTCTTTCTTGCTCCTCCCTCTTTCCCATCTGTATTCTCCTTCCTCTATTTCTCCAATTTCTTCAGTTTCCCCTTCACTTTCTAATTTCTTATCTATATTTCATCCCTTCTCCACTCTGTCTTGTGAGTACTTCTTTTTGTTTTGTTTTTTTTTCTGAGACAGAGTCTCGCTCTGTTGCCCATGCTGGAGTGCAGTGGCACAATCTTGGCTCACCACAACCTATGCCTCTTGGGTCCAAGTGATTCTACTGCGTCAGCCTCCTGAGTTGCTAGGACTACAGGCATGTGCCACCATGCCTGGCTAATTATTGTAGTTTTAGTAGAGACAGGGTGTCATTATACTGGCTAGGCTGGTCTCAAACTCCTGATCTCATGATCTGCCTGTCTCAGCCTCACAAAGTGCTGGGATTATAGGTGTGAGCCACTGCTCCTGGCCCCTGTGAGTATTTTACTTATGTATTAATGGTAACTGCTTCCCACTTCATTTGTCTGTCTATTTTCTACTGGCGTGCATATGTCTTCCTTTAAGGCCAAATTCGGAAGCCATCTATAGACAATTCTTGATGTATCATGGAAAACAGACATACAGGAATCATAGTGAGAAATATTATAAATAATGAATGAGGAGAAAGTTGGATACCACAGGATACTTTTGTTGCAAAAATATGGCCCATTTTCACAGCTTGGTATTTTGTAGATGATAAGAAGTGTTTTTTCTTTTCTATTGGAAGGTGTGTACCAAGAATGGAAAAATGTTTTTATGTTTAATAAACATTAGGTCTAACTTCAGACTAACTCCTCATGGTAGTCGTCAGAAGGATGGGACATACTTCTGTCTCTAATCTTCTCTTGCAGATATTGTGCTGGCACAATGCCCTGGGGAAACCCAGGAGATCACCACGATTTTGAACCTCAGCGTCATGATGATGGCTATATTGAAGTCATTGGATTTACCATGGCCTCTTTGGTGAGCAACACAACTCTTTTATTAAAATGAAATGTATTTTATGTAATGTATATAGTCACAGACTACATATGTCACATAATTAAAATAAAATGTACATATTAAATAATTAAAAGGAAATTTATGTATTGAAATATATTGATGAACTATAATGTAGTCACAGAGTCTATTCAGTTCACAGGACTATAGTATAGCTTTTTCTCCTGCTTTGTCAAATTACAAACTTTATAAATTATAGAGTTGCTTAGGAAAAAACAGAAAAAGTCATCATTTATGTCACTAAGGAAACCGATGCACCTTTGTTTGAACCTCAAGAATAAATAAGTATCACTTTTTATTTTTCCTGATTAATTTTTTACCAGAATAAAAAGTTTTCATGCTAATTAAAAACATTACACTGGGCTGGGTGCAGTGGCTCATGCCTGTAATCTCAGTACTTTGTGATGCCAAGGTGGGTGAATCACCTGAGGTCAGGAGTTTGAGACCAGCCTGATCAACATGGCAAAACTCTGCCTCTACTAAAAATACAAAAATTAGCCAGCCATGGTGCACATGCCTGTAATCCCAGCTACGGGGAGGCTGATGCAGGATAATCACTCGAACCCAGTAGGCGGCCGAAATTATGCCATTGCACTCCAGCCTGGGCTACAAGAGCAAAACTGTCTCAAAGAAAAAAAATAAATTACACCATGGAAACATCCCAGCATTGGCGAATTGGCACAGAAGCCATAGCATTTTATACTTTTTTGGTTCCCTAAGGACTTTTGTATTGAGGTAAAAAGGAAACATAGAACTGTAGCAACTTGTGGATATCCATCTTACTTATGAATGAGATGGACATCTCTATTATCACAAAAATCTGAATATACAAAGACACCATTATTGTGATACTAGTGAATACTCAGTTGTCACACTATTGAGATCACCTTTATTTTAATTTTGTTTGCTTGCATTAAGGAAGGAAATTTATAGTGTAAGTCTATTTTCAAGCAGGGTTTAGCTGTGCATTTCTACTTATTATTAAATGATGCCCTCAGTTAAAATTATGCTTAGTTATTTGTGTGTAAATCAGGCCATAATGAATTTGTAATGCAAATAAAAGCAAAGCTTCTGCTTGTCACCTTTGGTTGGCACATGGTTTGTGCTGAACCTTATGCATGAAAGAAAGAATGTTGTATTTCTTGTTCTAAACAAAGCAAAATAGGTCTCTTTTTTACTTATCTTGTCAATTCCAAATAATTCTTCCTCAACCACCTTGAATTAGTGAAGTTTAACAGAAAAATCTATTGTGCTTATGGCAAGAATCTTCATCACGTGATTTTGTGATGGTCCTTGTTAAATCATCTCTAGACTAAAATAGTTGTCATGGTAGAAAAGATTGGACTGGGATTGACTTACTTTCCAATGTTGTAACACACATATAGCTGCTTATCTCCAGCACTTTTTATGTTTATTGCAAGTGAAGACACAAGCCAAGAACAAATAGGATAAGTTCAGGAAGGGTATAGGCAAGGAAGAATTCTTGGAGGTGACAAAGTCATGCCCATATATGATGGAAAAAACTCTCTAAACTGTCTATACATGGTTTACTTGTTCTTTGTTCACTGATCTAGTGAACATTTATTGAGTGTCTGTCATGCACCAGAGCCTCCTAGTCCTGCCTGTGTGGTAGAAGGCTCTGAGGGATTGTTTGCGAGATGATGATCTCTTACCTATGTCTGTAAGGCCAAGGGGAATATTCCATATTTCCCCATTGCTCTTAGGATCAAAATCTCTGTCCTTACTTAGCCTGTAAAATAGAGGTTCTGTCTGGTTCTCTATCCTTTCCTGCTCTCATCTTTGCTTTCCAACTCAAGTAGCTGACAAGTGAAGCAGAGCATCGAACCTCTTGCTTCTTTTGTACCACCAAGCCATTGCACATGTGCTGTCTCTCTAAAATATTCTTCAACTGTTTCTTCTATGACTTCTCAGGCTAAATCTATATCTGGTTCTTCTTATAGCCCTTTCTGGTTTTGGTGGATTTTTTTAAACAAATGTATAATTAGTATAATTCTTATTATATTAATTCATATATTTACTGTAATAATTAGAATATTACACTCATTATACAGGAGTAATTCTGAAACTGGGTAATTAGTGGAAAGTTGGATGGAGGGCTCTTTTGCAAATAGTGTACTAGGTTTATGAGAAACCAATTCTTGAGCTGAAGATAAAAAGGCAAAGAAGCAATCACCAGTACCAGAAAGAGAACTACTTGGAAAGGGTTACCTGATAGGAGTGATATTTACAAAGAGGAAGCAACCAAACCTGTGCTCACCTGGCAGGGAGCAAGCCAGGAACATAAATACAGCGACTTCCCTCTTCACCTTGATCTCCAGATCTTCTGCTGGTGGCTGTATCTGGAGAAGTCTAACCAGAAGCAGAAGATACATGAGCCTCTGATGCAGTCCAAATGAGTCAGCCTCAAAGGGCAGAAAAAAGGACAGGGAAGGCTGGAGAGGCAGCACAGCACAGGCAGTAAATGGTGGATACCCATCACTCCAGTGTGGGTGGCCAGTCCGCAACAGGGAGCCTGCAGCATGCAGGTGGCAACGTGTGATATGACTGACTGAATTTTACCAGGAGAAGAAGAATGGAACTTGGCATTCTGGAAAAAGGAAAATTTACAAACATTTGGAAGTAGGAGGAATCATAGTGCTTTGTGGGAACTATAAGTAGTTTCAATGTAGGTGAAAAGAGTGATCTCAGGTGGTGCTAAAGAAGTGAGTAAGGGCCAGATCATCACAGCACTGATCTAGGAGTGTTTACATTATTCAGCATTCTTGGGGAGTTAGTTAAATATTTTTTTAAAATATGTAAATAGATATTATTATTATTTTTTTTATTGCATTTTAGGTTTTGGGGTACATGTGCAGAACTTGCAAGATAGTTGCATAGGTACACACATGGCAGTATATTCTGCCTTCCTCCCCTTCACCCACATTTGGCATTTCTCCCTAGGCTATCCCTCCCCAGCTCCCCCCTCCACTGTCCCTCCCCCATTTCCCCCAATAGACCCCAGTGTGTAGTACTCCCCTCCCTGTGTCCATGTGTTCTCATTTTTCATCACCCACCTATGAGTGAGAATATGTGGTATTTCATTTTCTGCTCTTGTGTCAGTTTGCTGAGAATGATGTTCTCCAGATTCATCCATGTCCCTACAAAGGACACAAACTCATCGTTTTTGATTGCTGCATAATATTCCATGGTGGATATGTGCCACATTTTCCCAGTCCAGTCTATCATCGATGGGCATTTGGGTTGGTTCCAGGTCTTTGCTATTGTAAACAGTGCTGCAATGAACATTCGTGTGCATGTGTCCTTATAGTAGAACGATTTATAGTCCTTTGGATATATACCCAGTAATGGGATTGCTGGGTCAAATGGAATTTCTATTTCTAAGGCCTTGAGGAATTGCCACACTGTCTTCCACAATGGTTGCCCTAATTTGCACTCCCACCAACAATGTAAAAGTGTTCCTATTTCTCCAAATCCTCTCCAGCATCTATTGTCTCCAGATTTTTTAATGATCGCCATTCTAACTGGCCTGAGATGGTATTTCAATGTGGTTTTCATTTGCATTTCTCTAATGAATAGTGATGATGAGCAGTTTTTCATATGTTTGTTGGCCTCATGTATGTCTTCTTTTGTAAAGTGTCTGTTCATATCCTTTTAAATAGGCTTGTTTGCTTTTTTTCTTGTAAATCTGTTTTAGTTCTTTGTAGATTCTGGATATTAGCCGTTTGTCAGATGGGTAGATTGCAAAATTTTTTCCCATTCTGTTGGTTGTCGGTTTGCTCTAATGATTGTTTCCTTCGCTGTATAGAAGCTCTGGAGTTTAATTAGATCCCATTTGTCTATTTTGGCTTTTGTTGCCACTGCTTTTGGTGTTTTAGCCATGAAGTCCTTGCCTACGCCTATATCCTGAATGGTTTTGCCTAGATTTTCTTCTAGGATTTTTATGGTGTTAGGTCTTATGTTTAAGTCTTTAATCCATCTGGAGTTAATTTTAGTGTAAGGTGTCAGGAAGGGGTCCAGTTTCTGCTTTCTGCACATGGTTAGCCAGTTTCCCAACACCATTTATTAAACAGGGAATCCTTTCCCCATTGCTTGTTTTTGTCAGGTTTGTCAAAGATCAGATGGTTGTAGATGTGTGGTGTTGCTGCCAAGGCCTCTGTTCTGTTCCATTGATCTATGTCTCTGTTTTGGTACCAGTACCATGCTGTTTTGATTACTGTGGCCTTGTATAGTTTGAAGTCAGGCAGCATGATGCCTCCAGCTTTGTTCTTTTTGCTTAGGATTGTTTTGGTTATGCAGGCTCTCTTTTGGTTCCATACGAAATTTTAAGTGTTTTTTTCCAGTTCTGTGAAGAAGGTCATTGGAAGCTTGATGGGGATAGTGTTGAATCTATAAATTACTTTGGGTAGTATGGCCATTTTCATGATGTTGATTATTCTCAACCATGAGCATGGAATGTTTTTCCATCTGTTTGTGTCCTCTCTTACTTCATTGAGCAGTGGTTTGTAGTTCTCCTTGAAGAGGTCCTTTACATCCTTTGTTAATTATATTCCGAGGTATTTTATTCTCTTTGTAGCAATTGTGAGTGGGAGTTCACTTTTGATTTGGCTGTTTGTCTGTTTTAGTATATAGAAATTCTTGTGATTTCTGCACATTGATTTTGTATCCTGAGACTTTGCTGAATTTGCTTATCAGCTTCAGGAGATTTTGGGCTGAGACGATGGGGTCTTCTAAATATATAATCATGTCATCTGCAAATAGAGACAATTTGGCTTCCTCTCTTCCTAATTGAATACTCTTTGTTTATTTTTCTTTCCTGATTGCTCTGGCTAGAACTTTCAATACTATATTGAATAGTAGTGGTGAGAGAGGGCATCCTTGTCTTGTGCCAGATTTCAAAGGGAATGCTTCCAGTTTTTGACCTTCCAGTTCAGTATGATATTGGT